TTGTTACATAGGTGTACATGGCCGTGGTGGTTTGATGCACCTATTGACTCATCCTCTAAGTTCCCTTCCCTCGCCATCCACCCTGCAACATGCCCTGGTGTGCATTATTTTCCTCTCTGTGTCCACGTGTTCTCATTGTTAAACTCCCACTTAAGACTAAGAATATGCGGTATTTGGTTTTCTGTTTCTGCATTAGTTTGCTGAGAATGATGGCTTCCAGCTTCATCCATGTAACTGAAAAAGGCATGATCTCATTGGCTGCATAGTACTATTCCATGGTGTATAAGTACTATATTTTTTTTAATCCAGTCTATTAGTGGCAGGCATTTGAGTTGGTTCCATGTCTTTGTTATTATACATAGTGCTGCAATAAACATACATGTGCATGTATCTATATAATAGAATGATTTCTATTCCTTTGGATATATACCCAGTAATGGGATTGCTGGATCAAATGGTATATCTGGTTCTAGATCCTTGAGGAATCACCATACTCTCTTCCACAATGGTTGAATTAATTCACATTCCCACCAACAGTGTAAAACTGTTCCTATTTCTCCCCAGCCTTGCCAGCATCTATTGTTTCCTGACTTTTTAATAATCGCCATTATGACTGGTGTGAGATGGTATCTCGTTGTGGTTTTGATTTGCATTTATCTGATGATAAGTGATGTTGAGCATTTTTTCATAGGTTTGTTGGGATGGCTTTTATTATGAGTAAGTTCCTTTGATGCCTAGTTTGTTGAGGGTTTTTAACAAGAAGGGATGTTGAATTTTATTAAATGTCTTTTCTGTGTCTATGGAGATAATCTTATGGTTTTTGTTTTTAGTTCTGTTTATGTGATGCATCACGCTTATTTATTTGCATATTTGGAACCTACCTTGCAACCCAGGAATAAAACCTACTTGATTGTTGTGGACTACCTTTTTGATGTGTTGCTGTATTAGGTTCACTAGTATTTCGTTGAGAATTTTTGCATGTATGTTTATCAGGGATGTTGACCTGAAGTTTTCTTTATTCACTGTGTTTCTGCCAGATTTTGGCATCAGAATGATGCTGGCTTCATAAAACGAGTTAGAGAAGAGTCTCTTCTCAATTATTTTTGGAATTATCTCAGCAAGATTGGTACCATCTCTTCTTACATGTATGGTAAAATTCGACTGTAATTCATTCTGGTCCAGGGCTTTTTCTGGTTGGTAGTTTTTTAGTACTGATTCAACTTTGGATCTTGTTATTGATCTGTTTAGGGTTTCAGTGTCTTCTATGATTCAATCTTTGGAGGTATTACGCTTCCTGGACTTTATGCATTTCTTCTAGATTTTCTAATTTGTGTGGATAGAGGTGTTAATAATAGTCTCTGAAGGATTATTATATATCTGTGGGGTGATGGTAATGTCCCCATTGTCATTTCTGACTGTGTTTATTTGAATCTTCTTTCTTTGTTTTTTATTAGTCTAGCTAGCAGTCTATAAGTTTTATTTATTCTTTGAATAAACTAACTTGTGATTTTGTTGATCTTTTATATGTTTCTTTGCATCTTAATTTTATTCAGTGAAGCTGTGATTTTGGTTGTTTTTTCTTCTGCTAGCTTTGGAGTTGGGTTGCTCTTGTTTTTCTAGTTTCTCTAGGTATGATGTTAGGTTGTTAATTTGAGATCTTTCTAACTTTTTGACTGCGTGTTTAGCACTATAAGTTTTCATCTTAACACTCCTTTAGCTGTGTCCCAGAGATTCTGGTATATTGTATCTTTGTTTTCGTTAGTTTCAAAGAATTTCTTGATTTCTGCCTGTATTTCATTATTACCCAAAATCAACTGAGGGTAAGGTTGTCTTATTTTTTTTATAATTGCAAGGGTATGAGAGATCATCTTGATATTGATTTCTACTTTTATTGTACTGTGTGTGATTCATGAGTGTACACGGTATAATTTCAGTTTTTTCAATTTGTTGAGAATTGCTTTATAGTTGAGTGTTAGGTCAGTTTTAAAGTATATGCCATGTGCACATGAGAAGAATATGTATTCTGCTGTTGTTGGGTAGATATTCTCTAGCTGTCTTCTCAGTCCATTTGGTTAGGTGTCCTGTTTAGGTCCCAAATATCTTTGATAGTTTTCTGCCTCAAAGATCTGTCTAGTACTGTCAGTGGGGTGTTGAAGTCTCCCACTATTGTTGTGTGGTTATCTAAGTCTCTAAGGACTTGTTTTATGAATCTAGGTCCTCCTGTGTTGGGTGCATATATATTTAGGATAATTGTCTTCTTGTTAAATTCAATGAATCCTTTAGCACTATTTAATGCCCTTCTCTGTTATTTTTGATAATTGTTTATTTAAATTCCGTCTTGTCTGAAACAAGAATAACAACCCTTGCTCTTCTTTCTTTTCTATTTGCTTGATGGATATTTCTCCATTCCTTTTCTTTGAGCTTATGGGTATCATTGCACGCAAGATGGGTCTCATGTAGGCAGTAAACAGTTAGATCTTGTTTCTTTATACATCTTGCAACTTTTTGCATTTTAAGTATGGCATTTAGCCTGTTTACATTCAAGGTTAATATTGATATACGTTGATCTTGTTATTGTGTTGCTAACTGGTTGTTATGTAGGCTTGATTGTGTAGCTGCTTCCTAGTGTCAATGGTCTATATATTTAAGTATGCTTTTGTAGTGTCTGGTAACGGCCTTTCATTTCCATGTTTGGCAATCCATTAAGGGCCTCTAGGTAGGCAGTTCTGGTGGTGATAAATTCCCTCAGCAATTTTGTCTGAAAAATATTTTATTTCTTCTTCACTTATAAAGCTTAGTTTGTCTGTATGTGAAATTCTTGATTGGAATTTCTTTCCTTTAAGGATGTTGAATGTAAGCCCCTAATCTCTTCTGGCTTGTAGGGTGTCTACTGAAAGGTCCATGGTCAGCTTGATGAAGTTCCCTTTGTAGGTGAACTGTCCGTTCTCTCTAGCTGCCTTTAATATTTTTTCTTTCATGTAGACCTTTGAAAATTTGATTACTATGTGTCTTGGGGATGGTTGTCTTATATACTACCTTGCAGGGGTTCTCTGAATTTCCAAAATTTAAATGTTGACCTTTCTAGTGGCGTTGGGGAAATTTTCATGGACAATATCATCAAATATGTCTTCCAAGTTGCTTACTCTTTCTCCCTCTCTTTTAGGAATGCCAGTGAGCTGTAGGTTCGGTGTCTTTACATAATCCATATTTTCTGCAGGTTTTGTTTATTTTAAAAATTTTTTTTGTCTGACTGGGTTCACTCAAATAATCAATCTTCAATCTCTGAGATTTTTTCCTAAGCTTAGTCTATTCTGCTATTAATATTTCTGATGTATTATGAAATTCTTATAGTGAGTTTTCCAGCTCTATCAGATCAATTTGGTTCTTTCTTCAAATGGCTGTTTCATCTTTCAGCTCTTAAATTATTTTACTGGATTCCTTAGATTCCTTGGATTGTGTTTCAACTTTCTCCTGAATCTCAATGATCTCTGTTGCCATCCAGATTCTGAATTACATATCTGTCATTTCAGGTATTTCAATCTGGTTAAGAACCATTGCTGGAGAGGTGGCATGGTTTTTTTTAGAGGTTATTTGGTTTTCAAAGTTACAGAGTTCTTGCACTGGTTACTTCTCAACTGTTTTGGCTGATATTCCTTTAATCATTGAAGTTGCTATCCTCTGGATGAGTCTTCTTGCTTTTACATTCTTTGAAGCCCTTGAGAATTTGACTGTGATATAAGTTGTGTTTAGTTGACTGGCTTCATTTCTGAATGATTTCAAGGTGCCAGGGCTTAGCTCAGCACTCCTGGGCTGTGTGCTATAACCTGGGCTATGTGCTATAACCTTGCTATAACCATGTCCACAGCTTTGTCCTCTGGCCACTGCTGTACTGGAGGGGCTGACATGTTCTTCATACTCTGGCAACAACACTCTGATAGGAGGTGGAGCAAAAGCATGTCATTGTGGCGGTGGTGGTGACAAGGTTTGTATACATGTGTGCTTGCAAAGCAGTCAGGGGAGGCTGCACACTGGTAGGGACCCATGTGTAAAAGCTCTCCTATGGCTAGGCAGAATCTGCCAATGAAGGAGGCATGGCAGTGACCACTGAGAGTCACCCTGGTTAAGCATGTGAGGCTGCGTTGCAAGCAGGTACAGCCAGTCAGGAACTCTGAGAGAAGCCAGCAGACAGGGATGTGCTGAGATCATGCTGGCCCCATCCATGGGTAAGATAGCCCTGTTCTGTTAAGGTTCAACAGTCTACAAAGGCCAATGCCACCTAGAGGAGCTTGGCAAGTCTTGGGGAATGGACGTCTCTGGCCATACTTCACTGCAACCATTCCTGCACCAAACCCTCTGGGCTTTGTACAGGCTAGAGTCCTGTTCCTGCCAACTCTACAAGCAGCTCTGCCTACTAGCTCAAATGTCTATGGAGGTCGTGGGGTCTCCTGCAGCTAGGTCCATAGTGAGAGTAGGCCATTGCACTCCTACTTAACTCACCTCTCCCCCAGGAGCTACACAGGCCCTGGAATGAGTCCTGGTGCTCAGCAACCTTGTTCAGTGTTGCTAGAATTCTCTCTCTTCAGCTCAGGGTCAGCATCTTCCCTCCATTAACTCTTAATGACTTTCTTTTGAAGATATGCTCAGAGTGTTCCAGTCTTCTTAATGGTCTTGTCTCTTAGTGGGAGAAGCTCTTTCTGGCTGTATCTAGCCATCTTGAGCCCTTCTCCCTGGTTGTTTACTAGCTAAATAACTCTGGTAATTTACCTACCCTCTCTGAGCCTCCAAAAAGAATAGGGATAATAATATTTACCTTGCAAGGTCCTTGTTAATAATTAGAAATAATGATATGGCACATGGCAAGAACCAATAAGCAGCCTGTGAGAACAGCAATAAACAATATCCAGTGTGGCAAATGGGAAGTGGCAAGTGCTTAATGAGTGGATACTATTTTTGTTAGTTCATTTGCAGCATGCAACTGATTACAAGGATTATTTTTGTACCTGGTGGAAGTGCATCATGTTCTGATCAGAGTTTCCCCAATCAAAAGCTTGAAGCTGACCAGAATTAACAGCCTAAAATAAAATGAACACATTAATATAAGTAAACAGTATATATTTAGAGATAGTACACAAGAAATATACAAAGAAGATAAACATTATGCCCCACTCTTTAGACATATCAGCTAAATTTCAATAAAGATAAAGAAAGTAATAAAAAATGATAAAATTGATCATAATTCACAAAATTGGTGCAATCTTTTACTCCTGTATCTTTCCAATGAAAATTCTCAGAGTTTTCATTTAAATCCAATGCCTTTAAATGTTACCATGCTACACATAGAAATATTTTTTAAAGATACAGAATTGAATGATCCTTGAATATCTTTGCTTCAGGAATTTTTATAATTTTTTTTAAAAAGTCATTAGCGGCTGGGTGTGGTGGCTCATGAGGTCAAGAGATCGAGACCATCCCATTTCTACTAAAAATACAAAAAAACTTAGCTGGGCATGGTGGCACGTGCCTGTAATCCCAGCTACTCAGGAGGCTGAGGCAGGAGAATTGCCTGAACCCAGGAAGTGGAGGTTGTGGTGAACCGAGATCATGCCATTGCACTCCAGCCTGGGTAACAAGAGTGAAACTCCGTCTCAAAAAAGAAAAAAAAAAGTCGTTTGCCATTTTGTTTCCTACATTTAATAATTACTGCTATTGTTATTACACAACTTTGTATCTTATCCTTATGATGGGGTCTAAGCTGTTATGATTATTCCCATCCTTAAACATTTTTTCACTATTAGAAGAAATATTCACCCACTATGTTTCCCCAGTTCTGTGTGAGGTACGTGGCTGCTGTCTGCCTCCCATATTTGGGGTCAAGCCACCTGCTGTGATGTTCATATGGAGCCATGGGATGACTGAGACACTGTGCATGAGTGCTTTTGCATTTTGGCATTGAAACTTCCAATAGTAGAATGTAAGAACATTCATACATACAGCATTTCCTTTTTCTGTTATTTGACACCCATATGGGATTGATTAGGCAGGTAATTTTGATGTTTATGTCAAGCACTTCATTAAATTATTCTCAGACTGTGGGTTTTTTTAGCATGAATCTCAGATATTTTTCCCACTTAGTGACTTAGTTCTGAATTTTAGTTTAAAAATATATTCCCATCGTGATTTATATTCAGAGAGGCAGCAGTCTGCTGCTATGGAAACTCTGAAAGCTTTTAGCAATGGGAGGCAATAGGATGTACTAGTTAGAAACTTGGGCTCTAGGATCAAATCTGGTGATTTGGTTTGGCTCTGTGTCCCCACCCAAATCTCATCTCTAATTGTAATTCCCACATGTCAGAGGAGGGACCTGGTGGAAGGTGACTGAATCGTGGGGGCAGACTTCCCCTTTGCTGTTCTTCTGACAGTTGAGTTCTCATAAAATCTGGTTGCTTGAAAGTACACAGCAGTTCCCACTTTGTGCACTTGTGCGTGCTCTCTCTCTCTCTCTCTCTCTCTCTCTCTCTCTATCCCCCTATCTTCCTCTCTCCCTCCTGCTCTGCTGTGGTAAGACATGCTTGCTTCCCCTTTGCCTTCTGTGGTGATTTTAAGTTTCTTGAGGATTCCTAGTCATACTTCCTGTACAGACTGTGGAGCTGTGAGTCTATTAAACCTCTTGTTTTAATAAATTGCCCAGTCTCACGTAGTTCTTTATATCAGTGTGAAAAGAGACTAATATATTTCATTTGTATACAGGCTTTACAGATTACCGAATCTGTGATTCAAGGTTAAGATATTTGTGAAATGAAAATGATAGTAACATTCTTTCTTAGGATTTTTTTTAACTGTATAAATACACAAGTTTTTTAAACAGCACCATTTCCAAGTTATACACAATATGATTATGACTTGGCAGAACTTTTAAAGGTGGAAAAGGCTAGTTGCTAGTTCAGTAATAAAAGATCTGTACATAAAAGGATAAGGAGCTGCAAATAGCTTTTTTAAAACTAGTATTACTATCATCATCATGATCATCACCCTTGCTTTAGCTACCTATGTAACTTATAGCCAGATATTTACCATCCCCCCATCCCTACTTATTTATATTCTGAAAAGGGCTTCCTGTCAAAGGAGAAAAGATTTTCTTAAGAGAAGTCAACTGTAAAATGTTTACAGAATAGGCAGCCATGTGCAGCGCTCACGCCTGTAATCCCGGCACTCTGGGAAGCTGAGGTGGGAGGACTGCTTGAGTCCAGCAGTTCAAGACTGGCCTAGGCAACAAAACAAGACCTCATATTTGTAAAAAGAAACAAAAGTTATCTGGGCATGGTGGTGCATGCCTGTGGTGCCAGCTACTCAAGAAGCTGAGATGGGAGAATTGCTTAAACCCAGGATGTCAAGGCTACAGTGAGCCATAATTGTACTACTGTACTCCGGCCTGGGCAATATGATTGTACCATTGCATGCTTTTTAAATTTTGTCTCAAAAAAAAAGGAATATGCTATGATGTTTGTAGAGTGAATAAAATTATATGTATAAGCAGCAAGAAGAGCACATATTAAGTACTCAATAACTGAAACTCAATGTGTACTACCTGGAAGGCCATGTGTTCGTAAGAGGACTTCTCTGTCTCCTCATCAGTAGGAGGACCTATGTCCTGAGCATCTTTCTTCCTAAAGGAACTTGAAGCCTTATCTCCTGGGAGTCAAACTCTTCCAAGAATTTCAGAAATCCTCACCTAGTATTTCAGACTATCTATAGTAGCGATTCTCTAAAACAGGGAGCAAATTTGTTAGGATATATGTTAAAATGCAAATTCCCTGGAGTGGGGGAATGTATTAAAACTTTGAGAAGACATCAGCCCTCTCCCTGACATAGAATTATGTATATTTTGTTCACTTTTCAAAAGGGGTTGTGTCTGAGCCACCAGCCAAGAATATAGGCAAAGATTACATGATAAACAAATCAATGTACATGCATGTGTGCATACATGCACAGACACACACACACACACACACACACACACACACAGCTCAGAAAACCGTACCAATTTAATGTGACTTATCTTTGAGCTTTCTGAATATTGAGCAATATAACAAAACAAATAAAACTTTAACTGAAGGTAAAACATAAGCAATAAATTTACTTTAATTCTTCTCTATCATTCAATTTGCTCTGAATAAAGCATTATTTCCCCATCCAAAATTTCCCATATATTGATTGGAAATGAATAGCTCTTTCTGGAATAAGCTGCATCATTTTATATAAAGTTTTATTAGAACTGATGACTTTCTGAAAGAGGAAATAAAATCATTCCCTTGAAAAGGCAGTTTGGAAAAATCTAAGGATCAGAATTCAGTCAGAATATCTGAGAACTATGCTCAAAACCCAGACACTGAGGACAAGGAGAAGAAATGGGAATGCAGTAAATAAAAATGAATAATTGATGCTGATTCCAAAACCATCAATGTGACAGTGGCGGGTGCCTGCAGAACCCTCCAGTGAGCTCTCTGAGAGCCCTCCTTGAGAGTCTTGCAGAGGTATGTGTGCATCAAACAGGAATAAGAAGCACGTACCTGGGCCCAGTGTAGCATATTCTGAACAGATGTTCCTGCAGGATTGTGTGACAAATAAACATCCAAGCGACTCTGCAAAGAGATTGTTTCTCATCTAGAGGCTAATCATATCATCATATCACGAGTAAACATTTGAGAGAAATTTAAATAGTTTATTTTCCTTTCTTTAAGAAAAAAAACTACCATATACTCTGAAGACATATTAACCAAAGAAGCCCATCTTTAAGAACTTCCTCCACTAGCTGTCTCATCCTCAGTAATATCTTCAGAAAGCTAACAGAGAGCATCCCACTGGTCAAAAGCAAAAGGAAATCTATCTTTCTTTGCAGACTCAACTCTCTAGGTCCAAGGGTGTAGGAGACTAAAGGATAAAAACTCCGATGATCTTTTCCTTCACCCCGTGTAAAATCCCAAAGGACATTCAAAGAAACCTGTTGACCCTAAGACACTGAGAATTGCTCTAACTGTTGCCTTTTGTTTTCTGAATTTTAAAATGTAGTAAATATTCTACAGGACTCTGAAAGTTTGTGGGGCAGAATCAATTCAGTCAGTATATTTAGATATCTTATGGATACACACACAAGAACAAAAACAAAAACAAAACACAAACTCTTGATTCTCTCGTATTTTCCATTGCACTATTTTTTAAATAAAAATAAATATTTTCCACCAAAGTAAGCATCAGAAACACCTTAGAGCTTTAAAAATATATTAACCTACTTATCCAAACACACTGAATAAAAGTCAAAATCTCAGAAGTTGAGTTCTGGACATGTGAATTTTTCAAAGTTCCACCAGTATTACTTATGCACCCTGGTTATGGTTCACTGAAACAAATGTCCTTGAAGGTGCTATAATATTCTGTGAGCTTTCCTTTTTGTCAGGAAGACAAAGGTGATTTGACAAAAGGTGTCCATATGGACAACAAAGGCCAATGAATAGTCAAGGGTGTTATTTTGTGATGTCTTTCTTTAGCAAACTCTTAGGCTATGCTGAGAGGGTGTTTTTAAAATACACTGTTTTGTGTTTGCGTCAAGGTCTTTTACTCAGCTCTGCCTACATGATATGCTTTCATCTACACCTATGCTTGCATCTAAGTGATAGGCAAGCATAGTTTCCATGGTACACTGAGAAAGTGAGAGAGGAACATAGAAAGGTAGTGGCTAAGGTATGCTTTACATAAAAAGTCTTTTATAAATCTTGCTTGAAAGCAAGAAAAAATTTAATCGATGCTTTCCACTGACTGGGAGAGTAGGCTCTGGGCAGAAGTCTGCAAGAGAGGAGGAGAACATCTTCAGCCTGATCCTACCTCTGACTTCAAACACATCACCTCTCTTTCCCTCTTCCCTCTCCCATGGGTCATCATGGAAAGAATCTCGGTTAAGTTAGAAATTACTTGACAAGAACCCTGACACTGATCCCTGTTGGTACCCCTTGAATAATAAATTTGTAGCTGTTATTAAAGAACCATCCTTCCTTTATGCCTTTGGGTTAAGGAAGTAAGTGGTTCACAAAATAACTTACCAAATCACCTGTGAAAGTGGAAAACTGGTAAAAAATTAAAATACAGATGTCTGGACTCACCCCCTGAGATTCTACTTCAGTAGGTCTGAAATAAGGCTCAGGCACAGCAAGATAGATATCAAAACCATAGCCTTTATCTAAATGTAAGATGTTTCAGGTAAGAAGAGATGAGAATTGTTGGCAGGAAATCTTTCTTCTCAAATCCTCCTATGAAAGCAAGTTGACTCAGCCCTCATTGGAAGCCATGAATGTACTAATTACATTCCAAAAGCAAAAAGGAAACGTTGAATTTTGGTTTTCATGCAATCCAGAATGAACTTTCATCACTTCTGTGCAACAAAACAACTGCTTTCCCAGACCCAATTATTTACACCTACCATATTTAAGTTTTGCGGATCAAATCCACTCAGAGTAAATAGGAAGTTGCTGCAAATACGATGGAATAGCTTCCGGCTGCACACTTTGGTGGCAATGAATTTGTCAAACAATGTATGAGGGTGGAACATTTTTTCACCAAACAACACCTACAAAATAATTTCAAAACACCATCAAATCTCATAGGTGTGGATATCAAAAGTGGAGAAAGAGTGGTAGTTCAAACAAGGACTGCACAGTACCAGATGACACTCAGTACTCAGTGTTGGTCCTGAGCGAAATCATGAGGCTTGTTAAATTTTAGCTTTGTAATCTTTCCAATGCACCTCTTGATGGCTTTTCCCAAAAACCTTTAATTGGGGTGGTTTTTAGAATGCCCCTTGAGAAACTAGTTCCCACAGGAAATTGGTAAGACTTTGGAGTGAGGCGTATATGTGTTTCATTCTGGATTCAAACACATTCTGTACCTTAAGAGAGTACTTAATTTTTATTATTATTATTATTATTTTTCTTATCTATAGAATAGAAAAATTTTCTAATAGAGGGATGTTGTGAAGTTAGTAGGTCGTGTTTAAAAGACATTGCAGTTCCTAGCATCTGGAACACATGAAAAAATACTATTTAATTAAAATATAAATTAATGTAATGGTTATTACTATCATAATTAGTGATTGATACAGACTCGAGCCATTTCTTCCAGAATCCTTTAATGAATTATTTCTATCGGCAAAAGCTTAACCTACAAAAATGAATCCTTACCGGTGGAATTTCAGGCAGCATTGCAAATGAGTTTCTTTGCTTAACAGCTACTAGTTTTATAATCTTAGCATAATAAACTAGATATAAACATAAAAAGACATTTTTCAGTTCTTAAAACTTTGGAAACATCCATTTACAGTAAAAAATGAACACACATTTCTTCTGGAATTCTTTATTAACCAGCAATTACAACTAAAGAAAAATAATAACTGGCATTTGTTCACTTAAGATCTAATTCACTTTGAGACCTCCTCCTATCTCTGGAAAACTAGATCAAGTAAGTTCCTACTGAGTATAGCTTATTAAATTCTGAGTTTTAAAAATGGTTATCTTGTATAGTCAGATATAAATTTTATTTAATGTAATATTGGATATTCCATGGAATAAGTGAAATACCAAGATTTCATATTCCTCTTCGTGCCCAAGAGAGGAAGAGAGGGATGGAGGCAGGGAAAGAGGAAGGGAAGGAGGAAGAGAGAGAAGAAGGAGGAGAAGGAGGAGGAAGAAGAAGAAAAAGGGAAGGGAAAGGAAGGACAACAATATGTTAAACTAGTTCACACCATATCTCAATTCTTTAGGTCTGGAAAGTAATAATAAGCCTTGTACATATTATTCGATTGATTCCAGACTCTTCTTCATTGTGTCACAATCACTACAACACTTGGATAATACACTAGATAGTTGATTTAACTTCCCAAATTGTAATTCTTCCTGTATAAATGTCCCCATAACAGTTTAATAATAGTAGCAGCATACACTCATAAAATGAGCTTATCCTTTAAAAGAATGTTGACATTTAGTTCATGTTTTCAAGTGTGACAACTTACATAGATTGTCACATGAATAAATAATTAAAGTAAAAGGCAGGATCTGACTTTAACCAGTAAACAAATTTACTTTTTCTTTATCAATAACTTAGTCATCCATGCTTGGCAAGAAAATCCATGTGAAAGAAAATATCCAGTTCATACAAGTAATGAACAATGAAAATATGCTGTTAAGAAACAGGTGACATTTACCATAATGGATTTTTGGTTCTCTGTTCTGAAACCTGGAGATGGCTTTCCCAAATACAGAGTAAATTAGCAGGACATTCTCTGACTCTACTCTACCTCAATATCGATGGCTGAGTGACTCAGCAAAACTACTCTGCATTTACCCAAAGGTGAATAATTTCTACTTTACCCTAATCTAAAAGGGAGGATATTAAATCAGGCCAGGCAGTAGTATAGCAACCAGGTACAGGGTAGCAAATATACCAACTTGTAGATGTAATTCCAAGTTGGCTGTGGAGGGGGCATGTTTGTCACATAACAGTAAGGAGCCAGGCTCCTTCTAGCAGCAATTTGGGTATGTGTGAGAATTAGAAAAGGTACCCCTCTTTCTGGCTACATGGGTCCATGCCAGGGCACATGGCTTGCCAAGGAGAACATGGGCTTGATTCAGCCCTCAACAGCTGACTGAGCTGGTCACCCTTGTGCACTAACTTCTTCAGGCTGGCATTGAAAAAGTGGGAAAAACACCACATATAAAAAGACCACTGACCATGGGTTGCCTGGTCACATCTGGGTTCAAGTTCTGGCTCTGCCATCCATTAGCTGATTGACTTGGAACAGGCTGCTTAGCCTCTCTGAGCCTCAGGTTCTATTAAGAAATGGAGACAGTACTAACAATCTTTAATGTTGTAGAGACTTGCAAAAGCAAAGGATCAAAGCAAGCTATAGGTCAGAAAGAAAGTAGAATGACAAGAACACAAAGGCAAAAATGTCCAGGGGCAAAATGGGAGGTGAGGAAGGGGGAAAGGATGAATAAATCTCCCAATTTCACAAACTCTACTCATTCTATCAATGTGAAAATTGAGGCTTAGCATGGTTAAATAACTTGTCCAAGGTTACAGTGGGTAGGAGGCAGAGGTAGAATGTGACTAGTTCTGTCTGACTCAAGTCTTTATGCTTTATACTTGATTCAATTCGACGTACATGAATTGAGTTGAATGTGATAGAAATGGAGCAATTGAAAGAACTGGCAGTATCCATGAAAAAGAAGTGCTAATCAGAGAGAAAAAGGGTTGTCTCATTCCAGAAGCTCCCATAAAAAAAAAAAAAAAAATGAAGACTTTCGCCAAGCATGCCTACGAACATCTGGCTGATGGGAGAGGAGAGGAGAAAGAAAGCCCCTCCCTCAAAAAGTCGAAAACATACCTAAACATTGTCTATCATTTCAGTGTCAGAGATTATTTTTTTGTTGCACAACTCTTGTTCCAATCCCCAATATCTATCAGCTTATGTGTTAACAATAACCCCATAATAATTCTCCTTGTCTGTGCACAACTCTTGTTCCATTCCCCAACATCTATCAGCTGATGTGTTAGCAGTAACCCCATAATTATTCTCCTAAACTTTCACCCCTCTTGATGTCCTTTACCCTCATCTGCTTACATCTGGTTCCCAGAGGAATTTTTCTAAAAAGGGACATTATGCATGTCATTCCTCTGTGCAAATACTTTTCATGTTCCAATTACCTATAAAATACATTCCAAACTCATTAATTTGGCACTCAAACCCCTTTAGAATCTGCCTCTACATTTCCAACATGATTTCTCATACTATCCTTTACAAATACTAATACAAGCTCCAGTAAAGTGAGTTATGTGTGATTTTCCATGGCCTGAGCTTCACCACTCAATGCTGCTCATGTTTTCCTCTTATTTCAGAAAGCCTTTCTATACCACACTGTATATTGAAATCTTAACCTTAAGCCCAAAGTAAAATGCCATCTTATTGAAAAAGTCTTTTGTGATTCCAACAGCTAGAAGTATTTTTGCTTTTTTCTGAGTTTGTCTAGCAATGTTTTTGCCCTGTTATTGTAATACTGGAGTTTCTATTAGGAATTAGTAGGTCATATGTGGCAATTCTTCTATTGGTACTATAGTTCCTCTATTGGAGTTATAATTTTGAAAGGGCAATCTTTCTAAAATTACAAATGTGATCAAGCCACTTTTCTTTTGATATTCTTCAGATGGCTCATCATTAACAGAACAAAGTTTAAACTCATAGACATGACACAACTTCCTTCCGTTGTCGCCTAATCTCTTCTTAGTTGAATCCCATTCTACTCTCACATACATCCTATTTTACTCATACCAATCAGCTGAAAAGTTGCCTTGTAGACATAGCTATTTCCTAATGCCAGGGCCTTAAAATAGTAGCTCATAGATATCTTTTGGCTGAATTAACTTGAAATCCTACACACACGTCAGGCTATGGAGAAGTTTGAAGAGAACTGTGCAAACGAAGAGGAATGGAAAGATCCCACCATCCCCAAATATCTCTTAACTATGTGGGAATACAGAAATAATGCAATAAGTCTGACGTTGTTTACTTAATAGTAGGACCAGGCCAGACTGAAATCTCAATGGTATAAGAGGCCCAAGTACCAGCAGGCAATGTTTTGTCATTTTCAGGTGGTTTTTCTGCTACTTGTCTTTCTGGGATGTATAAATAAGCACATCAATCACCACAGACTAATTTGCTTAGCTCTCAAAAATAAGAATCTTCTATGCATCTTTGGGCTTCTGTCAGAATTGTTTCACTTTCATCTGGTCTCATTGAAATCACTGAAAATTACAGTCACCACCATGGGCGGTATTAACACAGGAGAAATACATGGGTTAAAATATAAGAAGAAAACACATCAACACATGCAATGCAATTCCCCTGGACTAGATAAAGAATCCAATTAGCTGTCAACTAGAGGAGATTATGGAGCCTAGAATTTTGCCTAGGTTTTGGGAATTGTCAAAATGGCAGCATGTAAAGTATCAGGAAATGAAACAAGGTTGGGCATTTAGTGATGGAGGAGGGTATGTTTTATAAAACCAATGATAGCAAAAACAATTGTTAACATTTGTTAAAGGTTTATAATATACAAGACATTGTTTTAAAGGATATACTGTATTAAATCACTTGGTCCTCATGGTAGTCCTACAAGTAAGAACTATCGTTACTCCACATTACAGATGAAGAGCACTTAAGGTCTTGACCAAATTTACCCAGCTAGCAAATCACAGAAATAAGATTCAAACCCACACCATCTGATTCCATCCTGTGAACTCAGCCATTATTGCCCCTAAAAAATTATGGGTCATCAGAAGGAAATTTCATCTACTAAGTTCAACAAACCACTCAAATAAGCTCTCCCTTTCTGTGGTTCAGGAGTGGCATAGGAGACACATTTCTAGACAAAGATGAAGAAAGTAGGGTAGATTAGCAACAGGGGAATTCCCTGAACTCTGCTAATAAGATTGCACACATCATCAGTGAATTTACATGAATATCTCGAATACCTATTATTTTTTCAGAAGTTTCTAAAATGTCATTGATCTTCTGTTGAAATCAGTGGAAACAGAGCTACTTGAGTTATTTCAGAATAAAACTTGGGAAGTCACATACCTTGACTATTTGCCTGGAAAGAGTTGTTAGTTTTTTCATAGGACTTTGGGTGTATTTCACTGTGACAACTGGAGCCAGTGCAAAAAATATCTTAATCCTTTTAGCCAGTTCTGGGTTTGTAGAAAATGCTATGAAAGCTGAAATGGAAGAAGACACTAGTTCTTAGTTTTCAGATAATTATTTGTTCATTTTAAATGATAGTAAAAGTAGCCATATTAAAAACAAAACAAAAAACAACATACAATTATTACCATTTGTAGAGAATAATTTCTCAATTTCTCAATGTTGGAATTGGCTAATTCAGAATAAAGTGTTTCCTGGGGAGTGCAAGGAGAGAGGGTTCAAGCATCTACTGTGGGGCATATCTAGGTAAACTCCAAAGCCCATTCCAGCTTGAGCATAATCCTGGTATCTGACAAAACTGGGCTCTAATTTTGACTTCCTATTTACCGGCTGTGTGACCTTCCCTCTGTGAGTCGTGGTTTTCTTAGTCTGTGAATGTGGGTGGTAAAATCCTTATAGGATGATTTTTATAAAATCATTGGTTTGTTGAATTTAGTAGATTAAATTTCTTTCTGGTGACCCCTAATTTTTTAGGGGCAGTAGTTATTGAGTTCACAGCAAATCAGATGATTTATAAAATCCTTATAGGATGATTTTTGTGTACATAATCTTTATTAAATATATGAAACGTAAGATGTTACTTGGGAAAATCACCATTAGAAAGAATTCTTCAACCATTTGTGGAGTATGGATGATAGTGGTTTCAGATGTTTGCAGTTTCCAATGAGAGAATGTATGCAAGATGTGTGACACAGTACAAGTATGTAAAGACCTAGGCCAGGCATGGTGGCTCATGCCTATAATCCCAGCACTTTGGGAGGCCAAAGCGGGTGGATCACAAGGTCAAGAGATCGAGACCATCCTGGTCAACATGGTGAAACCCTGTATCTACTAAAAATACAAAAATTAGCTGTGCATGATGGTATATGCCTATAGTCCCAGCTACTCGGGAGGCTGAGGCAGGAGAATTCCTTGAACCCAGGAGGCGGAGGTTGTGATGAGCTGAGATTGCGCCATTGCATTCCAGCCAGGGTAACAAAAGCAAAACTCCGTCTCAAAAAAAAAAAAAAAACTACTTTATACGAGAATCCTGATTATAATTAAGATATAGGAAACAGGCTGGTGGAAATCCTGTTGGTGTTGTTGAGTTCTCTAGCCAAACAGTAGGAAGACAAATGGGCCTCATAACACTGCCAACATAGCCCTACCCACATCTGGCCTACTCCAACGCCTCCCTGACAACTAAAAGTCGTACTGATTGTAGCATATAATCACTGAGTTTTGTAATCTCTGTTTTCTTTCTTGAGTCCCTCACTAGACTGTGAGATATTCAAAGAAAGAACAAATACCATATTTATCTCTGCTTTCTCAACATATAACACTGTCTGACAAATGTCTGCTAGGTTTACAAACAAATAAATGAATTATTCTCCCTCTTTCAGGCTTATCTATCAACCTCCAAATTTAGTATTGAAGGAAAATTCCCTATTATCATTATTATTTAATTTACTCTTCAGAAATTAGCCAGAGGAAATGGTCTTCCAATTCAAGTCCCCAAGCTAGAGACTGCACAGAGAGAAGAAATGCTGACCCCCTTCCATGAATATGGAAGAAGAGCCCCTGACATTTTCTCTTAACCTTTATCTCTTAACCTGAATTTCAATCCTGAATTTCTGTAGTATGGAAGAAAGGTTAAGAGATAAATGTCACATCTCTGATCACATCTGCCCCAAACACACCTATGGTGGTGCCTTGTGAGTGGCCCACGTAGTAGAGTTGCTTCTGTCCAGTTTTCTCTATGATAAAATTGATTGTGGCTGAAAGGTCATATTTAGCCATCTCATCCAAACTAACAAAAAGAAGGAATAACACAATTAGAAAAGTCATCTCATGTTAGGCCTAGAACATTTAAACACACTCAGTGCAAACACAAATGCTTTGATTTTGTTAAATGTAAGACTGGTGTCAATATCTGATATTAGGCATCCATGCAACTTTAAAGGGTGTCACTTTGAGTGCAAGTCAAAAGTTTTTAAGAAACTCAAATCAGAAAAATCTGATTTGTCAAGGCCTACTGATGCTTTTCTTGCTTTATGTGTCATTAATTCTATGACAGATTTACCAAACTCCTCTGAAAAGAGCAATTACCTGGAATGCTTATCTAAAAGAAAGAATAATAAAGCAAACAGATTTGCAGACCACAGCCCAGACTGACTGAATCAGAATTTCCTGGGAAGAGACCCAGTAATCTTTATATTTATCAATGACTTCATCTACTTCTGATCCTGTGTATAGTTTAAGAAATACCTAGGAAATTATCTAGTCATTTGCAAGGGTGCAATGGACTGTGGTATAGACCTAGGAAATGCCAATGGTTTCCAGAAAGAAGGCAGGCAAGGAAGCCAAGGAACACAGGGTTTTTATGACCTCCAAGGCATGGTTCTTAGCTCCTATGCCAGTGCATGGGTTTGCCCCTGTGACTAGGTAGACGTGGCTTCTGAAGCAGATAGCACCCCAGGTGCCGCTGCTGGCGACATTGCTGCTTAGCCATTCTGTAATCAGGCTTTCTTCTTACTACCCCCAGGACATACACACACACACTCACACACAGACACCAGGAAGGAGGCAGGAGTTCTCAAACAGCCATGCAATAATAATTATAGTTCTTTAGAGCCTGTGAAGAAAGTCTGGGTAGAGAAAGAAAGGTCTGTTTCCTTCTTATGGATTCCACTGGGTGCATTTGGACACAAAAAGGAAAAAAAAATCACTAGGTGTTTATACATATACATGAGCAAAGTACACACTTTATTCATTAGTAGGTTTCTCCTTACCTGAAGGCCCAGTATTCTGGTGATTGGGGTGACAATTTAAGGTGTTTTCTGGACCAAGTGTTTCCTCGGCTGTTTCCCAACCACACATCGTAACCACTGTCTGCCAGAAGGAAAGCCAAGCTGTTGTTGGGCAGGTTGCAAATCCAGTTACTGGCAGATGCAATTAAGCCATGCTGCAAATACACAGCAGGCTTTGGAGCTGCAAAACACAGGCAACAAGAATTTCATGTCTGAACTTCCTCAGTGTCCACAAGAAAAATCTCAATCCTGAATTTCTGTAGTATGGAAGAAAGCTTAAGACATAAAATCTGATGCCAGGCAAACCTGGAATCTTGTCCCTTCTGAGCTACTTACTTTTATTTACATTCTGTCTTGTTTTCTCATTTGTAAAGGATCATATATAATGTATTGTGTTATGTACATGTGGAAGTTAGATTGCCCTAGTTCAGAATCCCTTCTGATATGCATGAACTCCTTTGTGCCTCAGTTGACCTATCTGTATAATGGGAAATAACAACAAATGCTATCTCCTAGGGTATTTATAAGAATTCATTGAGAACTAAAACATGTAAAAGGCTGTCTGGCACAGTAAATATTAGCTCTATTACTGTAATTCATATTAATAGCATTATATTTTTCAAGGCTCATCTGATTAAAAACTTAGTTTTTTTTCCAAAATAAAAACAATTTTAAAATGCTGTCTGTTGAATGCTCATTGAATGTCAAGCACTGTGCTAGGTTTTATAGGCACTGCTTCATTTCATTTGAATTGTCAGCAAAAAGCAAGGTTATAGGTAGAAATTTACACAATTTAAAATTTATAACATGATACAATAATCCTATTCCCAATGTAAAATAGGAACATTTTAACTAAGAAAGAAAAAGGAAAAAGAAGGAAGTGAGAAAGTGTTGAAAAAGAAGAGAGGGAAGAAGTGACAAGGCTTTTCCTCTCCTTTATAAGTGGTTTGTGATGCTGTTTTGATATCTCAGGACCCTCAGGCCACTTTTAGAGCTAGAATGGCTTCCTGAGAGTGAGTAGGTTAGACTCACAGAGAGCCTTCAGCCATTGGGAACAGGGAACTAAGAGTCTATGTCCATTGATGCACCTTTTGGAATAGAGAGAAAGAACAGGTGTTGCTAACTCTGCCAAAGTTAAGTATCATTAAATAGTTAAGTACCATCAGGCCTCTCTGATCTGTGTTTGAGACAGATCACAGGCAACTCAGAGAAACAGTTTCTCATTGCACAGCTTTTTGTCACATGCAGTTTGGCAGCTATGTGGTAGAAATGACTAGAGAAAAGTTTGGGGAGACTTAAAAGTTATCTTGAGTATTTACAAATTTATTTGTAATTATGGAGCTATTTTGGGAAATGATTGACTTGGTAAAACCAGCAACACCATCATATCTTACTCTCTTTTTAGAAATCTAGAGTTTTTCTTTAAATAATTAGTTTTTCTGAGGTTGAGAATTTTTGTTATTCGACGTGTCAAAGTATAAAATGAGCTAAGAAGAGATAGAAGGAAGCAAAAGCAAATAGTTTCTGGGGAACGAACTGCTCATTCCCCCCTCCCTCATCGTCCCCTCCCCCCCACTCAGATAGTCACGTGCATTGTGGGAGTTAGAATTGGCTCTTTAATGACGTTTAAGCACAGAACTGATGGGAACTAATAGGGTCCTTTTTTTTTTTTGAGACTCCTGAGGATAACCGAGGCTCTATTTTAGGGGAAAAAAAAAAAATAGAATTGGTTTGTTAGTTGGAGGCAAGGGCAAGAGGTGTACCCTAGGCAGTAAATTATCCCTCTAGAATGGGCCTAGGGCTAGGGCTGTGCGTCCGATGGGTCTCCAGTTGCCCATGCTCCCCTGCACAACTGCCTCCCCAGCAGGCTGTGGGTCACCCACAGGAGTGGTAAGCTGAGAAGAGCTACCGTGGCCATTCTCTGGGGCAGGACATCAGAGGACTCAGATACCAGCTTCCCATTGCAGCTCTCAGTCTTCTTCACAGCACGGCCCTGCAGGAGCTGGTGCAGCAGAAAGAGCCAGAGTCCCCGTCATAGCCAAAATTGCACTGGAAATCCAGGCCATAGTTGAGGCCAGAGCTTGTGAGGCCGAGCCCAGCCTACCTGGGTAGCCACTGCTAGTCCTCCTATGGATACTCCTGCTCTGTGTTCCCAGACTCCAGCTGGCTCGCCTTGCCCTCCAGCAGCTTCCTGTAGGTGGTGCTCTCGATGCCCAAGGCCCACTTGACTTTGTCAGCTCCAGGTACTGGCGAAGCTACAGCGCCCTGTCCCATTTGGTCAGCTGCAGGATGGCCTCCAGTTCTGCAGGCTCGGCATTGAGTCCTTAATGGCAAACTCCCCACGCTGCTCCGCATTCTCTGGCCTTTGAGGCCTTCAATCTCATCCTGGAGCTGGCTGTTGTTCCGGTTCATCTGAAAGATCTTCTTCCTGTGATCAGTTCATTCTCAGCCTTCCCAGACAGTCTGCAGCTCCTCGTACCTGATCTGGTGGTGCATGCTCTCAGCCTTGGCCCAGCTGCTGCTGGCGATCTCCTGGTACCGGGCGGGGACCTCGCAATGATGCCATTCATGTCCAGGACTCAGCTGTTGTTCATGGACAGGACCACAGATGTGGCTGAGATCCGGAACTGCAGCTCATGGATCTCCTTGTCTACTTGAGCAGCCCTTCTAGGCGAGAACACTTGTTCTATAAGCTTTATCCACAACCTTCTTAATGAGGAAAAATCATTCTCCATCTCTATATGCTTGCTGATCTCATCCTGGTACTTACTCTTGAAGTCCTCCACCAGCCCCTGCATGTTGCCAGGCTTCACCTCCAGCTTCAGCTTCTGGTCCCCTGTGTCCAGCTGCCACAGACGGTTGTTGATGCAGCTCTCCATGTTGCCCATGTTGCTCCCAGCTGTCTTCTGCTGCTGCAGGCTCCACATGGTCTCCAGCATCTTGTTCAGCTGCTCCAGGATTCACATCTTGTCAGTGACGGAGGCAAACTTGTCTTGATCTCCTTCTTCTCCTGGGTGTTTACAGTACAGATGTTGGGATCCACCTCCAGCTTTCCGGAGCTCATCAGACTCTGGTTCAGTGAGAACTGTGATACCTCTCATACCACCAGCCCCAGCATAGACCTCACCCAGACCCATGCTGGTGGCTTTCGGGCCACCCAGAAAGCTGCTGCTCACTTGAAAGAAGCTCGAGGAGCTGATACAAGCACTGGGTACACTCCTGTACCAACAGCTGCTGAAGGCGGGGGGCCCAAGGTAGACACCTTGTAGGACTTCTGGGTCACCCTGATAGACATGGTGGAGGCTGGAGTGAAGGCAGTTAGGCTCAACTAGATAGTGATTTGAGTAGCTGAGAAGGTGCTGCTAGGTGGGAGCTAATAGGGTCATATTTACTTTAAACAATAAAATCACACAGACTTGGATCCACAACTGACTACAAGTAGTTTAATACCAGTGAGAAGGCATCGTAGTACTTGAAGACATTATGTTCAAACCTGGATTTGAATGATTATTGAAGCTGAAAGTTTTCAAATTAGAGAGAAATTTAGAAGGCAAAATTGATAGATGGAGATGACAGGTTGCATGTAGAATGTGAGGGAGAAGGTGGTATCAAGAATAACCCCTAGGTTCCTGGTTTCCAAAACTGGACAGTGGTATCACTAAGGTAAAAACATGATGTGTTTTTGTGTTTGCTTGGAAGGAAGGTAAGTCATGAAGAAAAGGAGAGACCAAATAAACAGTGTATGTAAAAGTGACTTAAAACTTCAAAGCTATATAAATTAAACAGAGATGTGGGGGGTGATCTTTCTCCTCCAATGGAAGAGACTGCAGAGGATTTCAGAACAAAAACTGCTTGACTTCTCCCAGAACATCTAAGTACCTCTGCTTTAGGCATTTTTCCTTTCACAATAAAATAAATAATACCTGTCCTCCTTGGGCATCCTCTTCCATGTGGAATCCTGTAAATTCCAAGGATGTAACCATCTTTCGTTACAACATCATACTCTTCATAAGGATAACCCCAATAAGAAATAATCTGGCTCTAAAAAGAAGAAATAGATATCTTCATGTCATAATCTCTTAATTTCTACACATGAATTACAATATAGTACTTGTTTGTTTGTTTTGTTTGTTTGTTTGTGATGGATCTCACTCTGTTCCCTGGACCGGAGTGCAGTGGTGTGATCTCGGCTCACTGCAGCCTCTGCCTCCTGGGCTCAAGCAATCCTCCCACCTTCAGCCTTCCAAGTAGCTGGAACTACAGGCACCCGCCCCCACACCCAGCTACGTTTTTTGTATGTTTTTGTAGAGATGGGATTTCACCATGTTGCTCAGGCTGGTCACGAACTCCTGAGCTCAAGTCATTTATTCCCCTGCCTCGGCCTCCCAGAGTGCTAGGATTATAGGTGTGAATCTCCATGCCTGGCCGCAATGTAGTACTCTAAGTTGCACCTACTATTTATCAGTCTATTTGCTGTGACAGCATATAATATTCCTATGAGGATAATTTAAGAGGGATTTCTAGAAGGAGTTACATACAGAGGCATAGGTAAATCTGGGTGGGGTGACTCTACATTCTTGCTTGCTCAGGATACTCTGGTTTTGCCTGTTGGCCTGTATCATTAAAGCACCCTAGTTTGTTTTGATGAAAAATTCTATGGTCATCTAATGAGGGAAACCACAGGGAACTGTGAAGTACCCTGTGGCTAATAACAAGTGATCTATGACCAAACAGACTTGAATGAAGACAGGAGGAAGCAGTTACCAGAATCCAGAAGGAGAAAGTCAAGCTGAGATAACCAAATTGAGGGAGACAGCTTATCTAAGTTGACTTCACAGGAAGGAAGCCAGGGCCATCAAAAATCAAACATACTTGCCAATTTCCTTCTCATCTCCTGCTCACAATTTCCATTGGCTGAATTGAACTGAAAACCAAAAGTCAAGGGAGATTGTTGACCTGTCCTTACAGCTCAGCCCCTTGGGCTGAGAGAAAGGTGTTAAAGAGCACAGAGTGAGCCTAGAGGGGTCAGAGAAGATACCCCACCAACAGATATACGAAAAAGAGGGGAACTAGTGATTATTGTTTATCTTCTGCATAGAAGTTTACATTCCTTTTCTCATTAACCTTACAAGAGGAATTTGAGATAGAATTGTACCATTTACAGATGGGAAAACTGACGTTCAGGTAAATTAACAATTTGTCCAAGAGTATATACTAGAAAGAGATAAAAAACAAGATTAATACTAAAGTAAATTTAACTCTAAAGCTTATGGCTTTATCAAAGGATTATGCATTTTCCCATATCAGAAACAGAGATGCGTGTATAAATTATGGGCTACATAGAGCAGTGGCGAAGAGCCCAGGCTCTGGAGACAGGCTGTGTGACATTATGAGGATCATATGTAATACGTGTAGAACTATGCCTAACATAAAACCAGAGGTTTAGAGATGATTGTTCTTATTATCATTATAGAAGGATTAAAAACCAAAAATCACTCATACTAGAAAGAGAAAAATTAGTCAGTTCAGCAGTATGATAGGAGATCAGGGGTACTTGTTGGATACTTTGGAGAGAGGAACAAGAAGAGACACTAATTTTAAAAACTTCGGCAGTTTCATTCTCCTTGTGGTTCTAATACAGCTTGGGTATGGTACAGGACAGCAACTGTACATCGTTTATATAGGAGAATGGAGCATATTATCCGAATGGAGTCTGTAGTAGATACTTGTCATTTGTCCTTTTTTTCTTTGCCTAACACCATTTCATTCCATTTCTGATATGAATTCCTGAATGTTAAAATACTTCGGTAATAAACAACAGAAAGCATCGCTGACTTATTAAACCAAAAAAGTGCATTGGCATAGCTCACAAAAATCAAAGGAACTGCTCTATTGAAAACATCAGGGAAAACTCAAAGATATTCTGTAGAAATCATCCATATTAACTCATGAAACTTCTCTTTAGGAAGCCACTACTGTATGATAGTTCAAACCACGAGGAGATGGAATATTTCTGTTCCAGCTTGGATCAGATCTTTTAATTCTTAGACGTTAGCCATGTCAAGGAACAGGGGAGGAAGCACAGATTTAGTCACTGGAGGAATTGTTGAAAACTAAGACGGAACACTAGTTGTATCTAAAATGATGAAATATGAAGAATTCCTTATTTTAGACTTTTTCTTAATAAATGACTTACAATATTCATATTAGCTTCAGGGTTTGCGGTGCTTCCCTTCTTATTATAACCATACACAGATCCAAGAAGAAGCATCCAGCATGCTGCTGTTAAAAGCTGCCACATTTGGGGTCTGCCTGGGAAAGAAAATTTAATATGTCATCAAAGAGAAATTCCACACAGTGAAATTTTGTATAATCTTTTATAACACTGCTGTGAGAGAGAGCAGAAACATATTTCTAGACTGTGCTTTAACCAGTAGAATACTGAATTATACAACATTTATTCCATGAAAAATCTAAAATGACTTTTTAGTAAGAAAAACCACAAGGAAAGAAGAAAGGAGGGAATAAATCGAAAGGAACATAGAAACTAATAAATCAATCAAGTTTCCAGCAGATAACTGGACAAAAGAGGGAATAGATAATTTGTAGAAAAGAAATATATTGGCTAATAAATTAATCAAAGTACATTTATTATCTCTAGTTATTAGATTATTTGGTACTTTTTTCAGATGGTGGAGATAAGCACTGGCAAAAAGCTTTATGAAAAAAATGTGTTGACATGTCTTGTAAATTTAAAAGTATTCATAACCTGCACTCAGTAATTTTGTTTTCAGGAATCTAACTAAAAGAAAAATGATGTATATATAAACACTAGGTATAAAATTATTTATTATTATATATCTTTAGACAGTAAAATTTCCCAAAGTAAGAGACTAGTGGCCTAAAGATCTATATAATGAAGGAACGGCTAAAATAAGTGAGTGGGCAAAAATTGGAAACTTACCTTTCAAAAGTTTCTTCAGACAGAAGCTCTATATGACTATGGAGACAGCTGCTAGTTTACTCAAATTTGGTTTGTAATTTGGTTGGAAAAAAGTAGATTACTTGTAAGACTCTCCTCCCACACTCAAAAATCTCCCTTTTCCAATAGTTGCTTTTTGTTCACTCCCTGCCCCCAACCTCTCTAGTTACTGCAGACAGAGGGAAATATGAGACTTTCAAGAGAATATTGCCTTGATGCATGTTTGATTTTATATTGGTAAAAATATTATACATAAAATGCATGTGGATTATATGTATGCAGCTGTCATAAGTAATGCATTTTGCACTGACAAATACATTGATGGTAAAATCAAGGATAGCAATTTCTTAACAAAAGAGTATTAGAAGTAATAGAGACCTTAATTCTATTTTTCTTATTTCCCTGTAATAGGAACTATCAGGCTCATTAAGTGAACACTTCTGGCAATGCCTGGAGAGTGTTAACTAGTCCCCACCCTAATTCTTAACTATATTCATAAATGGAGGTGAGAATTGGCCAGAGTGTGCAGGTACAAAGACCCTAGAGGAAACTCTAAGCTCTAAGTTTGGAAAATTCTTAAGTTTAGAAAATGCAAAGAGATCAGTTTCTACAGATGACTCTCTGATGAATCTCGGTTTGATCAATGGTAAAATAACGCTAATGATGAATCCCTGAATGCTTTGTGAAGGATTCTGAGTTAAAATTCTAACTCTGTTCTTCAGAAGATATGGCAGCCATGAGAATGCAGCTCTCAGAGCTTCAACTGCGGGGAGAAAAACTGACGATGAGCCATAGCTCCTGTGTCTCAACTCCATTACTAGCTTCATAATGAAGCCACACATTGCAGACACTTCCTAACTACTGGCTGTCACTGCTTTTATTATTAGTTGTGTGACTTTTGCTAGGCAATTAAACTTCTCCGAAACTTGATTTTCTTATCTGTACAGTGAAACTAATGACACCTACATGTAGGGTTGGCTTAAGATGATTAAGATGTGATAAATAAGATGATAAATACTGCCTATAAAACATCTAACAATGCTTGACTTTCAATAATTGGTAGCCATTGTTATAACGTCTTCTGTTTCTGTGATTATTTCAGATGGATGTCTTGGTTTTCCAACTAGTTCATAAGCTTCTTAAGAACAAGAACCACATATTATACTTTATATTATAAATACAAATACTTCATATTTATAACTTTTAAAATTTATTGTCTCTAGTTTTCCTCCTACTGAGTATAGTAAAATTATTTCAATTGATTTACGAAAAATAGCAACATATTTTGTACCAACATTTCTCAATAGAATAATTTAAGACCAGTCAAGAATTTCTGTTAATTTTTAGTTCTAATAATTTTTATTCTTAACTATATAGAATACTTTACCTATTTAATTTAAAATTTATATACTATGGACTGAGCATCTATAGGCTTAGTCAGTATAATCATTGTTTTTCCACTGCTAGCAAATGTCAATTTAGAATTTGAACAATATCTATTTACTCAATTTCTTTTCACTGAGTCTTACTCTCCCTTATAAAAATATTTTCAAAGTATTAATAGAAGTTAGAAAGTTTGGGTACAGTGTAATTCATTGGAAGATTAAAGGGAGTAGCAATTTTGTCTTAACAGATTTGAGTATAAAATTCTTATGGGTGGCAAAGTAAAAAATAGAATAGGGCCCAGAAATGTGAAAACAGAAAATATCTTGTGTATACAGGTTACCTGGTAAATAAATAAAAAACACAAGACAAAGCTGATGTCAACATGCACAATAAAATGCAAGCAAAATGTGTGACATTCTCACAGCTCAAGGAAGATGTGACAAATGGGATTAAAATTTATACAAATATATAATTTTCTAAAGTGTGTATATATAAAATTTTCATCTCATGATACTTCACTTCCTTCTATATATGTAAATCTATATATACATAAAATTTTCTAAATCGTATATATATAAAATTAGGCACGATGATATTAGGCATCAAATCACTATTCTATTGGATTCATTTTAAAAAATGTGTAACAATTTAATTTTAAACTATTAATATTTACAATGTGCCATAAAGTGCATCCTTAGCAACTATTTAAAAATATTTAAGTGCATCCTTAGCAACTATTTAAAAACAAATCTTACATGCCAACCTAAAAATTTGCAGTAACTTACAGAGTTTTGCAAACTTTGGGGCTATAGAAGCAAAAATATTATTTAAGCAACTATTATATATTTTAAATTTTTATTGTTTTTAAATTTCTAAAACAAATATATGAAAAAGCATGGTCTTCCAAAAAGACTAGAAGAATTACTCCAAAATGAAATGGTTTTATTTGATCACTGGGAATACACATTTTCCCTCTTCCACTAATTTGCTTATCAGTTATGTATTTTCCTTGATAAATTTATTAGCTTGAATTATTCTCAATAATAGCAAAGGTTATGACATTTAGAAATAATTAAGTGTAAATTTAAACTCAGTGACCTGTGAGTAAATGTCCTAGGTATCTTTTTAGTGGCAAAGTTCAGAAGTTTTACTACTTCCATCTTGTAATAATCATTTCTGCAATCTCCCATAGTTTTTGTTTATTAAGGGATACTTGGCAGCCATACAAATGACTGGGTTTGCCAGAAGACTGTTGTTTATCAATTAGACTGTTTTGGCATCTGCTACATTTTCTTTTTATCTGAAATTTTAAATCTAAAACCCACTGGATGTTTACAAAGATTTAGGATCTGTCTTGCTCCTACCTGAGCATCCTTCATAAAGCTCTAATACTTTTAATCTCTTACCAAAAAACAGTGACTCACAACTATTTAAATTGCTTCTCTGTTTTCCCCCTGCCACAGAGTGAAAGACAATGAATCAGGAAGAGCAAAGAGACTATTAACAAGTGAATAAAAGGAAATCTTTACAAAATAGGATATCCAGTCCTAAAAATTGTAGATTTGAGAATTAAGCACCTAGCACATTCGAATCAGGAATAAAGACTAGGCAACTTTGATGGAATTTTCAAATAGGTTAAGAAGCCAGTAGCTCTGTGCTCCAAGCCTAGAGGCAAGCAGAAAAGAAAAAGAGTCTTAGGATGAATGGGAAATAAAATGCCAGGGCAGAAAAAAAAAAAGTATAACAAACATCTTAAAAGAGAATTATATTTCACAAGTCATCTATAATATGAAGGACAAAGCACTTGTCCTGCCTGGCAAAATAGGCTCTGAAAGAATGTTCTTCAAATTAAAGGCAAAAATTAAAAAAAAATAAGCCACAAAGGGAGAACAGTGGAGGAAATAATTTTTCCCTCAATTTCCTTACAAAGTAGAGGAGAGATAGGATAGGCCAGTGAAGGAATGAGACCAAGTCATGTCAAAGTAAAATGACACCTTTAATTTCATATTGTTATTCCAAAATTCAGTTCCATATTCTCATATTTCCACACTGAAGTACTAAATGTGGCAAAGTGCTATATATTTGAATTGATTTCTTTTTTCAGACATGAAGAAAACCTGGTAAAAACTACTTTCTTATTTCTAGAAAAAGAAAATAAAGGATAGCTGTTTTGTAAAAAAAAATAATAACAGCTTGACTTTGACACATAGAATTAAAGAATAATTATTTAATCTCTCTATGTCTAGAGGGGATATTAGTCCATCCAATTGGCTCATCTTCATCCTTCTAGCTTCTAATCAGATCTACAATTAAGAGAGTGACAGGAGAATGTTACTCTTAAATATCATCGACATTAATGTGAACCACTTTTTCACGCCTCACCCAGTAATGCTATTTATTACAAAGCAGCAGAAAAGGAGAATGGCATGTCCTCCACAAATTATTAATTTCATAAGTAGGGGTGTCACTCTTGACAATCACTTTGCTTCATATTTCTCTTCAGATGACCTTGATCATAAAAAGAATATTCATGCTCAAGGCCATTGGAATGAGAACATAAAGCGCTTTCTAAAAAATGGTAAATGGTTTTGAAAACATTTTCCAAACGTTATTTCCCAAACCCCTAGATGCAAGACTCAAAAAAGAGGTTCATAAAAATTATCTATTGCTAGCTTTTTCCAGGTGTAGACTTGGGATAACTTCTCTCAATGCGATTCAAATATAGTGATGTCTGCTTTCTATATGCTACAGCTTTCTGAAAGGGAAAACTTGTCATAACATGCCTAGAAGACTCTCCGTCTGAAGTTGTCACATTATACTCTTGCTGTATCTTGCTTAACCTGATAGAATCAAAACACAATATTCAGCATCAACATTCAAATTTCTGTCCTTCTAAAGGTTTCCCGTGTCTCACTAATATATTATGATCTAGGCTCC